GCACCTGCAGGGTGATGATGTCCTGCCGGGAGAAGGGCTCATCGGTCAGCAGATCCCGGAAGTTCTTGGCCTTGATGTTCAGCTGCTCCACGGCCTGCAGCCCGGAGAAGGCCGGGTTATGGCACCGACCCAGAACGCAGCACCACAGCCCAGAGATGGGGAGGCCAGGTGAAAGGTTAGGCTGTGTACATGCCTAGGGCCTCTTGAAAGGACAAGCACACAGCTGCCCCTGACCCCCACCCCCTGAACTCTCTTGAGAAGCTCTAGGGCCACACCGGACAGATGAGGCCATCTCGTCACCTGCTTCTAGCTCTAGGCACCAGGACAGGTCCTTGGACTAGGAGAAGTCAAGCCTTCCTCTGGGAGCACAGTCCAGTTCAGCTCTCCCTCTGCTCTGCTGGGGGGGTCCCTACCCCTAGCCCACCCACAGGAAGTGCCCCCAGGGCAGTGCTGGCCACCTGGACCCCAAATACACCCAGTGCGGAGAACTGAAGGTGCACAGAGGACTTGGCACTGACGCAGGCTTGCCTGCGTGTGAACGCTAACCTTTGAGATTCCTGACCCTGCCATGCAGCCCCTCCCCCACTGCCTGGACCCAGCCCTGGGCTGTCTTCAGCCAGTGCCCCTCTCCAGGCCTCGTCATGCTGCAGCTGGAGAGACCAGCCAGAATGTGGGTCCTGCCCAGGGCCGCCCATTTCTCCTGTTTAGAGGGTGACAGCTGGCATGGAGACCCTGCCAGAGGACTCCCAGAGGCACCCAGGAGCTACGAGATGCCACACCCACCTCGTAGGCATAGACATTGCCAGTGGTGCGGATGGCCACGATGTGGGTGTTGTTGGTGAACACGGAGAACAGCACGGGGCAGTGGTACTTCCCTAGGAAAAGGCACCGTCAGCCGTGGCGCCCCCCCAAGACCCACGCGTTCAGAAAAGTACCGGCGTGAAGATGGCCGCGGGCCAGGGAAGGTGAGAACTTGCCTACGTCTGTGTAAAGGCTCTGGGAAGAATCCTGTGCCCACATGCCCACAGTAGAGTGCCAGCCAACAGCCCAAGCCATTTCTCCCAATAGCCCAACCGCTGGTGCACTCCAATTCACCCTGCAAAACCCACCTCTGCATCTCCTTTCTCGGAGGCATTGGGTCCATTTGCCCCCAGGCCAGCCCTGGTGGTCGCCACCCCTGGCCACCTTGCGGCCGTCAAGCCACTCTGAGGGCGGAAGATAAGGCTTTCTACTTCCGTAAAGAGTTACAGGCTTGGAAACACTTGGGAGTCTTGTCCACCCATCCAGAGGTTTAACCTAGAATACGCTCTCTAGCTCTGACCCTCAGCCGGGCCCTAGGTCAAACTACTTAGGTCTTAGAAGAAACTGCACTTTTTTTTCCTTCAAATATACTAAAAGCAAGTGGTCAGCCCAATCGGAGAAAGAAGGCGCAGTCCCACCCCGGGTTGGGGAGGTCTGGGGTCTACAGGCCCCTCCTGTAGTGGCCTGAGCTGGGGTGGGGGTGGGGGGGCACAGCACTTGTGGCGTTAACCCCCTTGGGGACCTGGATTTCTCTGTTGTATTAACAAGGTCATCTCGGCTTAGGACCAGAGTCACTGGCAGGGAGTCTCCTCTGACTCACAGGCCCCCGTGGGACAGAGCTGAACTGCCCCTGTGTGTTTCCAAGGCTCTCACTCTTTCCAGACGTAGGAAGCCTAACCCTCCCGCAGAGCGGCTGATGGCTTCAAGCCGCTGCCCGTGTGGTTCGCAGCCCAGTGGATAATCACTATGCCACCAGGGCTCCTGGAAACCACTGAACTCCCCGCCGTTGAGGCGATGCGGACTCGTGACCCTGTAAGGACAGGGAGAACTGCTCTGGTCGGTTTCCGAGGCTGGAACTCTCCCTGGGAGCAGAAAGCCTCAGTGGCTTCAAACTGCCTGCCCGCCAGTCAGGAGCTCCTCACCTCTGAGTGATGGGAATAACAAGAGTCCTCAGAGATAGAAGGGACCACAGGGGGCACCCCAAGGCACAGAGGCGGAAAGGGACAAGGGTCTTCTCCCAGAGCCGACAGGGATAGAGAGCCTGTCCCCAGATTCCAGACTTCCAGCCTTCTGAACTGAGAAAACACACGTCTGTTCCCGAAAGCCACTCCCGGTGGTTGTTGCTGTCACCTCTGCTCTAGGGTCTCAGACAAGCCACTGCTCACCTTCGCTGTTCTTTGCAAACTTCAGGTCAATCAGGGACTTCCGGTCTAGTTTCTGGAAGAAGAGGCCGGCATTCATCAGACAGAAAAGGACAAGATGAACGAGTGATCAGTGCGGCAAACTGGACAACCGGTAACAACGAAGAAGGGGCTGACAGGCAGGCACACTGCGGCGGTGAAGTTGAGCCGAGGACAGAGAGACCAGGGAGGTGCCTGGGCCATTGCAGCTGTAAACCAGGAGCTGGAGCTGCTGCCCAAGGAAGCCCCGGGGCCCGGCGCTACCCACAGTGGGGTGTGGTGCCCAGCGGGGCTCGGGTCTGTACCTCCACCCCCACCCGGCTCTGAGGGAGGGCAGGCGACTGTCCACACACACAAGCAGGTTCCCTTCATGAAAGGGCCTCTGTGCTCTGCAAAGTCTGGGCTTTGGTGGGTTCAGCCTAGGCTGCTTCTGAAGCTCAGGAAGAAAGGTGTTGCTCAGGTGAGCAAGTGGGCCCACCAGGCTCCGCCTTGTTCTGCTGCACAAATAGTTTGGGAAACCAAAACATAAAAATTGGGTGCCTGACACAATGGATGGGTGGATGGATTGTGATAAGAGTTGTACGAACCCCCCAAAAAATGATTTAAAAAAAATTGGGATGCACCCCCGTGAAGACACTGTTTCCACATCCTACTTCGGTGAAGTGCAAATGGGGCCTTAAAGACTCATGGACAACCCTCCGTGATACAAGTACTGGTCTCTCCCGGCTCACAGCAAAGAAGAGCGAAGAAAGGAAAGGAGGCTCATGTTAACAATTCAATCGGCTCTGTAAACCTTCACCCCAATCGTAAAAAGAGAAAGAGGGCAAACCCAACAGACACACAGCCAGCATGCTGGTGGCTGGCAGGCTGGCTCCACTGCTCAGCAGCCCCTGCTGGCACGGCCAATAACCTTCCCGTGGTCAGAACCAGCGTGACTCTAAGCCCCCAAAGGCGGGAGACGGATCCAGTGCCCACTTTCCCCCTTTGCCCTCGGTGGCCCACCCACTGTCCCAAGCCACCCAGGGATGGGCGGCCCTCACAAGTTAGAGGACACAAGACAGACAAACAACAAGCTGGAGGCCACAGTCCTTGGTTCACTCGCTCACTGGACTGCAGACGCGAGGGTCAACCCACTGAGAGGGTGGGAGTGTGACTCCCAGTGAACCTCAACACGGTTTCTGAGGCTGTACACCGTTAAGGGAGCAGACAGCCTCATCCTTCTCCCTCAGAGCGGAACGGTGGTTTGAACTGCCAACCTGGCAGTGAGCAGCGTAAGGCTTAGAACCCACGTAAAGGAAACTTTTGTTTCCTACTGAGAGCCCCAGGTGTGGTCTGGGGAGGTGCCCGTGTGGAGTGGTACACCCCCCACCCCAGCCCCACCCCCCCACCCCCCGCCACAGCTGCCTACCTCTCCATTGCTGGGGTTGGTGCCGTATTTCTTGAGCCAGGGCAGGATGCTCCTGAGAGGACGAGAGAACAGAAGGCATGGCAATGTGGGGCAGAGGGGTCCACTCTACCAGGTCACCTCGCCGAGAGCGGGAGTACAACTAGTAACAAACAGTGGCCATCCTCGAGGCGACGCTGATGGTCAATTTTCCCTTCCCACTCGGGAATGTTTCTCAAGTCTCCTGAAACAGGCTGGAAACCGTTCCTGACGCCAGGAAGCTGGGGTGCGCTGCGGCACAAGCCTGAGATGGGGTCCAGGGCACAAAGTGGAGGCAGTCCAGCCCCACACTCGTCCCTGAGAACAATGGCCCTCACATGCGGCTCGCCGCTTCTCAAGGATCACCAGTGCTACCTGCTCAGGCCCAGGAGACCTGGGCCGCCCCTCCTGGAGCGCACCCCCCCTCGAGAGTCCCTCCCATGGCTGCTGCAGGGATGTGGTAACCCCAGCCCCTCCAGCTGACCCAACGCCCTCTCCAACAATGTCGTGGGTATATGAGATCCAAACGCCAGGGGGTTACTCACAGCAAGTCAAAGACGACGCCTTCGGGGGTGCATACTGGGTAGATGAAGGGCTGTAGGGAGAGACTGGGAAGATACAAGAGTTACTCCTGACCAGCTGCTGGACACCTGGCATACTGGAGGCTGCCCCTCACGCCTTTTGTCACTCCCGCAGCAATCCCTGGGGGTTCAGAGCAGGCGCTGGGGGCCAGGGCCAGGATGGCCCAAGGTTGTGCTCCTACCACATGGCAGGAAGCTCGAGCCCCAGGGGAGAAGCAAAAGCTGCAGAGCCACTGGGAAGAGGGACCCCGCCTTGCCACGTGCTCCCCTGGGGCAAGTCCTGGTTTTGTCACGTGTTCAAGCCCCAGAGAGGGAGCTGGAGGCAGCCTCCGGGAGGTCTGGAGCTCTGCTGGCCCCTGACCCCTGGCTCGAGGCCCATGCCCTTGTTTGGAGGCAGGGTCCCCATTCAACGTCAGTGAGATGGCAGGGGCTCATGCAGGAGTGGGGTGGTGTCTTATAAAAAGAGGCAGAAAGACCCAGAAACAGGGTCAACCTTGGGGGATGACAGCCTGTCCTTCCACAGGCCTGGGGCCACTGCAGGAGACAGGACGGGATCCTCCCTGGAGCTGATGAGGAGGAGGTCCAGACTTTCAGCCTCCAGAAAGCCACCCACGTTGTCGAGTCTCTGCCAGGGGCAGAGTGGGCAGGAGGGGAGTGTACGAGCTGCGAAACCTCGGCTAGCAGGCAGGCCAGCTTTTCCACTGAGACCTGCCTTCTTGCACTCCAAGGGATTGAGAATGGGGAAGGGGAGGCTACTGCTGTCATCAGTGGGCGCTTTGCCTGCCCCTGACCACCCTCCCACAAGCTCCCAGTGCCCATCCAAGAGCGAGTTCTGACACGTGGGCGGGAGGCAGGGAGGCCAGAGTGGGCTCACAACTGCAGCAAGCAATTGTCAGAGAGGGTCTGCTTGACAAGCGGTCACGTGTGGAGACCCCTTGCAGAAACCACTTTGGCTGCTGTTCTTGGTCTTTCCACCAAGACTAGTGAGAGCTGATCTACCTAAGAGAGACCACCTGGGGACCCTGACAGACATCATCCATCCTGGCCAATCACGAGACTGCTAAGAGCCCTGAGACTCCCAGCTGGAACTTCTCGGCTGGTGGCCCTGCATGGGAGAGGGAGGGGCTGTCTCTCCAGGGGCCGTGTATCCGAGGTGGCTGGGGTCAGGGAGAGAGTGAGGAGCTAGTAGGACGATGGAGGCATGGCCAGGTGAGAACTGGACCAGCTTCAGTCTGGGGGCCAAAATCACACGGATCCTGACCAGGGCTAGCGATGGGGTGGGGTCTCCTTGCTGGGCCCTTGTTTTGCATGCTGGCCAACATGGGGAAAGCAGAGCCCTCCGAGGGGGAGAGCGCACCCTGGCGAACTTCTGCCTCTCTCTCTGACTCAACCCACCCTTCAACAGTGGTGGTGGTGCTGCTAGTGGCAGACACGGTGCCAGTTTCGGCACCAACGTAAACTAACTAACATGGCGACCCTCTCTCAATTACCCCTTACCCCAAACCAAACCCACTGCAGCCAAAAGGACCCTACGGGACAGAGCAGAACACCCCCCCACCCCCACTCACCCCCCGGCGTTTCTGAGGTTGTCAGTCTTTATAGGAATAGACAGTCCCATCTTTCTCCTGCGGAGTGGCTGGGGGTTGGAACGGCTGACTCTCTGGTTAGCAGCCCAGTGCTTTACTCTAATGTACCACCAGGCTCCAACATCCAGGAAGCAGGCTTTGTAATGGGGCCTGCCCGCCTCAGAGGGCAGGGACGAGGTGAAAAAGGACAATGCCTACACACATACGATTCCATATAAGCAGAACACGGTTACCGGTGGGGCCTCACTGTCCTAGGTGGGGAATGAGCTGGAGCTGGGCAAGTGGAGGGGGCCTGACCGGGGCTCATACCCGAATCTCCAAGAATCAGATTTACTAGCAAGCACCAGAGAACAGCCACAAGAAAGAGATAGGCTTTCAAAGCCCCTTACCTGCAGTGGTCAAAAGGTAAGCGGCGGAAATTTGCTTTGGGGATGTCTGTCAATAAAGCAAACATTTATTGCCATCAGGCGGAGGGTGATATAAATAAAGTTGATTACAGCAGGCGCAATTAGGTTAAAACGTAACATCTTGGTAACTAGTTAACTAGACTAAGTGGATTAATAGCTTCTTGGGGGTATGGTAGGGGAGGTTGGAGAGAAACGGGGTTGCTAAATACAAAAAACAAGAAAATGTTAAAAAAACAAAACAAAAACGTAACATCGTATCATTTGATCTCCCTTTGGACCCTTTTCTCATGTTGTGTCAACAAAAACAAGCAAATGGGAAATACACGTGGATGAAGCCTCTGGTGATCCCCTCCGGCCATGGAGGGGCGGGCAGGGCCTGGTCCAGGCTGAGGGCATTACGAAGGGATGGTGGCAGATGCAGTGAGGTTACAATTTAACACCCCTTATCGTTCCACCTCCCTCTGGTCCCTGTCTAATTTGTTCTATCTTTGAATGCTTTCTGCTTTCTTTTGATTGAGGTTTTCCTCTATTTTACTTTATTATTGTTGCTAGTTTTTGTTGTTGTTTCTGTATGTTCTCCTGTGTGCAAGCCAGGGGAGGTAAATCTAGAGAGACTGGATTAATGGCTCCTTGGGGGGATGGCAGGGGAGGCTGGGGGGAGATGGGGAGCTAATAACAATGAGTACAAGAACCAAGAAAATCTTCTAAAAATTGATTATGGTGTGGATTGTGCAACAATTCTTAATACAAATGAACTATTGAATCGTGTGCTTTGTGAATCATTTGCCAATAAAGCATTCATTCTATAAACAACCAGCATGGGAGGGCTCCTGCCAGCGATCCAATGGGAGAGCTCCTGCCAGCGATCCAATGGGAGAGCTCCTGCCAGCGATCCAATGGGAGGGCTCCTGCCAGCGATCCAATGGGGTGTCAGGAGGAGGTCTGACTTGGAGCCTCTGGCCAGTGCCAGCCGCTAACATACTCAGCTGCTCGCCGATTGGCTGGTGGTTCAATTTTCCCCAGAGATCCCTTGGAAGAGAAGTCTGGTCATTCATTGCCGAAAACCAGCCTTGGGAAAGCCCATAAAGGATAGCTCTATTCTGGCCACAAGCCAGAGTCCACAGCAATGGGTAACTGAATCACACTGTCCTAATTCCAAGGAGAGGTGGTGGTTCAGGCTGTGGGACAATAGTGACCCCCAACAGCAGATGTATCAGGAACTGTGGCAGAGACCAGGCTCTGGGGGCATTTTCATCTGGCTTCCATCTGAATGCGCCTAACTGTGTTTGGGATCTAGCCACTTCAAGCGCTGTAATCCGCCCATTTCAGTGGCCGGGGCCTTTCGGACAGAAGTGGCCAGGTCTTTCTTCCGAAGCACCTCTAGTGACTCACCCTCAAAACGTTCTGTTGGTGGCTGCACAGGGGCTATCGGTGCCACTCGGGGACTCCACAGCCTGGAGAGCTTGGGGGACCGTTCACTTCACCCCTCCATGGATTTGATACGGAAGGTCACTTGAACCACCGTTTTTATAAATCACGAACTCAGACTAGCATTGGCTGTGTTTTGGAGGACTGTGTCCTCAGCCTGTCTGTCAACTGTCATTCCCACGATCTCCAGTCTTCACCGGTTCAGAGCCTGATCAGAGGCCCTTCCGGATTCCTCCCTCTGGGGGAAACAGAAGGGTTTCACAGCTTACCTGGCTTCCTGCCACCATAGAAGTGCGTGTACTCAGCACAGGTAATGTACCTGAAGGAGAGAGAGAGAGAATGTTAGCGCCAGCAGAAG